TAGATAAATACATAAGTAAATACACGCATACATGCATTAAGCATATGTTTGGCTATTTAAGATATTTTGTGATATCTTTTGGGATTACAGTAATGGGAACAAGATTTGTTTGCATTGCAATGAGTATAGGGCTTCATTTTCCTTTAATTAAACATTTTGGAGTGAAAACATGACTTTATCTTAAAAGTTTATACAATTTTCACTGTATAGTGGCACCAAATCTATTAGATAGATGCAATCTATTTTAGGTGCATCAGACACCAAAAACTTGGACCAAGAAACCAAGAAATGAACATCTACTCTCTGTGACTGTGACGGAGGAAGAGAGTGCCAAAATCTGCATAAACATGCCAATTCTACAGGTTGTCATTTCTGATTGGCTGACTGACCTTTAGTGGGAAGAATGTGATTTGTGGAGATTTGAAGGCTCATGAATAAGCAATGATCTTGTGCTACAGAGTCTGACTAGGGGAAGGAAGAGACCCTATGAAACCGATATTAATCAATCCCAGATAACGAGAATAAGACTCCAGATTTGATTCTGTGGATGTGATGACAGATCGGAAAAGAAGTCTGTCAGAAAGACAGGGTGACGTTAAATTTCAGGGTTGACCTCATTGGATTACAATAATTCTTTGCAGAGCACTAAAATCTCAATAGTCATTAAAATCATTTGACTGGAAAATAGCACATGATGCAGTTTTGCTTGGGCTTAATTTTAACTGACTGTGCGGTCATAAATCTTGTATGCAAATAAATGTCCAATGCTGGTCTTGGATCATCTTTCTCTCATTACTGGTTTATAAATGAGTTTAAAAAAAATCTTTAAGCTTAAGTATTAAACTTTGGAGCATAACTTTTCCCATACAGTTGGTATTTTGAACATTAATTTCTGTTCACACAAAGAACACAAACACACAAATCGCTCACAATCAGTTCTGCTAAATGCATAAATTATAATTTCAAACATGACATTTCACACCATATCTGCACCATGAACCATATCTAGACCATGAAATCATAGATATTTTTGACCTCAGCAGTAAGCAACCATCTAGTAACCACCATAGAACACCCTAGCAACATCTAGAACATGTTAGTAACACCTAGAACATGTTAATAAATCCATTGTAACACCTGAACTAATTAACAAACCAATAGCAACAGATAGAACATGTTAACAACCCCATAGTAACACCTAAAACTAATTAGCTCTCCTTTAGCAACACCTAGAACCCCCATAGCAACAACTTGAACTCATTAGCAACTCTTAGGAACACCTAGAACATGTTAACAACCCCATATCAACACCTAGAACATGTTAGAAACCACATAGCAATGCCTAGAACTTGACACAACCCATAGCAACACCTAAAAATATTAGCAACCAAACTGCAATGCCTTAACAACACCTAAAACTCGTTACAACACCCATAGCAACACCTAGAATTCATTGGCAATCCCATAGCAACACATACAACATGTTAGAAACCACATAGCAACGCCCTAGCAACACCTAGAACTCATTAGAACCCCCATAGCAACACCTAGAACACATTAGCAACCACATAGCAATGCCTTAGAAACACCTAAAACTCATTAACAACCTATAACAAAACCTAGAACATGTGAGCAACCACAGGCACTTGCACAGGCAATCACCACATACATTTTCTTTATAAACCATAAAAATGACATTTTCTTCTGTAATCAACCAGTCCAGAATGTCTGCATGAATAATCACTAATGAATATGTACTAATTAGATTTAGATGAACCCTCAGTGTAATCTGAGCCTCTGTAGTTTCTCCTGGCTCAAATGAGTAGGATATGAGTGAAGTCTGCAGGGCTCAATGATAAGATCATAATGGACTAATCTGTGGTTATTTCATCCTGACCTGCAGCAGAAGCACAAAGAGCCGCATGTATCATAAACGGTGCATGATTCTATCAGCATGGCTTTACAGTCAGGATATCAGTGAAGTTTCTTATAGCTGTTGTTCAGCATATAAAATCAACCCCTATCTATTTAAAAAAAGGCAAACCATAATGAGACACCCACAATTTTTTCTAAGGTGCCCTAAACAGATGGAGGAACATATTGGAAATGCAATAAAACATAAAATGTAAAAAGAAAGTAATTTATGATATGCATAAGCATTTATTTAGGTATCAACTTTGTCTCTGATGTTTCTCGTAAAATAAACGATTGTCAAAAAGATGAATTTGACAAGAAATGTTTCATATCGAACTCATATCAGTATCTCAGATGTGAGATTATTTTTTATAATATATTTATAATTATAGCCTGTTTTTCAGGAGAAATATCTGAGAACCATGCAATTCAGTAAAAGTCTCTGTTTAACCCTGTAAAGCCTGACATATATTAAATAATTGTCAGAAGAAAACAAAAACCTTATTTTTTTAATTTATACCATTTTTGAATCTTTTGAGAAAATCTTTAAAAAAGTGTGTTTTTTTTGGAGTATTATATTTGATACATCAGCCTTTTATGACTTATATGTAGTATGATATATGAGAATATGGAGCTCATATGAGGAAAAAACATCTCATTTTTTTCAGAGGCCCAAACTGAGCAAAAATATTCAATTTGCATTTGGCCAAATAGTAAGATGAAATTCTAATAGCTTGTAATATAAATCATTGAGATCCTTATAACAGTATCACAGACTAGTTAAATAAAATGATATAAACATGAGTTGTCACTCTATATCTCCCAAAAATATGACAAAACATATAATGCAATGGAATACAATAATGATTGAAATATAAAAAATAAACATTCCTCAAACGCCTGATGATCATATTTGTTAATCACATTTGAAAATAATTCTTCTAAAGAATGATGTCTGGATAATCAAGTACACCTAAGTTGCTTCAGTCCAATAAGTGTTCATCTTGAAATATTACTAACAATATAAAATTTATTGTTATGTTTACTTTACAAAAATCAGTCAAGATTTCACAGCAAAAAGACACATGAACCACAACCTGAAAGTGGGTGTATTTATAATTATACTTAAAGGTCTTTTACTTGCTAAAAAAAGTAAACTATCAATATCAAGAAGACGACAGAAGGCATGTAATAGATATTGTAGGCTTCATAGGGATAATCACGTTGCTGTCCAGGAGACAAACAAATGAGGTATTCAGGTGTTCTACTAGACAAGCCAAATTCACATCAACCTGAAGTGCCCTTAAATTCCCATCAGTCACTTCATTTTTTCTGAGATGTCACATCACTCAAAATTTACCGCACTGTCACCACGTCAATCCATCTGATCCATACGCCACCCCACCTGAACAACACAAAGCATGCTGGTAGATGATTAATGATAATTACCTTGTCATTGACCACACTCTTGCCATCCCAAGCCCAGCCACGCTTGGTGAAGTAGTTGACTGTGGCGAACTCAATCAGGGCGGAGAAGACAAAGGCATAACACACTGCAATGAACCAGTCCATGGCTGTGGCATAGGCGACTTTCGGTAGGGAGTTACGGGCACTGATACTCAAAGTGGTCATAGTCAGTACAGTGGTCACACCTGAGAGGAATACAAACAATGACAACACAATGCAAATTACCATGATATACTAATGCAGAGCTCTATTCAACTCAGAATGTCCGAATTACTTGAAGTTGGAATTTCAACTTAAACTTTGTAGAAATCTTGCATCACATGAATGCAACAGCACTTGATTCCACCATTGCATGAAAAACTAAAACCTGTTTAGCAAACGTTTGCAGAGACAGGTGTGTAAAACATGGTTTTGTCAATCACACACACATGAAAACAAATGTGTAGTAAAAAGAGTTATAAAGAGTAAAACATCATTAAACAACTGAATGAATGAATGAATGAAGAAGTAAAAGTAAGTAAATAAATAAATACATAAATAAATAAATCTTTTCCAACTTGTGGATTTTTTTAAACAGTCAAAACTGTTCCCAAAACATTCTACATCTGCCATTGGTTGTAAAATGCAAACAAATAAATAAAACAGTAAATAAATTAATAAAACAACAACAACAACAAAAAAAGAATAAAACAACAAAAAAATGAATAAAATGATAGAGAAATTGATAAATATATAAAACAATAAAACAATAAGTAAAACAATGAACGGATGATTTCCAACTTGTGGATTTTTTTAAACAGTCAAAACTGTTCCCAAAAACATTCTACATCTGCCATTGGTTGTAAAATGCAAACAAATAAATAAAACAGTAAATAAATGAATAAAACAACAACAACAACAAAAAAAGAATAAAACAACAAAAAAATGAATAAAATGATAGAGAAATGTATAAATATATAAAACAATAAAACAATAAGTAAAACAATGAACGGATGAATGATTGATACATCAGGCTTTTATGGCTCAGTATGATATATGTGAATATGGAGCTCATTTGAGAAGAAAAAAAAATCTCAGTTTTATTCAAAAGCCCAAACTCAGCAAAATATGCAATTTGTTGCTGATATTTATATGGCCAAAAAGTAAGATGAAATTCTGACAGCTTGCAATGTAAATCAGTGAGATTATTTATAAGAGTATACCAGACTACTTAGATAAAAATAATATAAAAATATTAGTTGTCACTTTATATGTGCCAATGTCTTACATGTAATGCATAGTTTTATGATCAAAGCTTTGTAGTTTTATTGTGGGGGCAAAACATATAATACAATGATTACTGAGAGATGAACAAATAAACGTCCCTCTGAGGATCATATTTGACACTGACATTTTAATGTGATTTTTCTAAAAAATATATATTATATAAAAAATATATATTAAAAAATAGTATATCGTAAAATATTGCTAACAATATCAAAGCTATTCTAACATTTACTTTATAAAATTCAGTAAAGATTTCACAGCAAAAAAACATGTGAACCACGAGCTGAATGTGGACAGATTTACAATTATACAAAAAGGTATTTTACTTGCTAAAAAAAGTATAAACTATCAATAAGATGATAGAAGGCATGTACTAGATACTGTAGGCTTTATAGGGATAATCACGTGGCTGTCTAGAAGGAACAACTGAGATATTCAGGTGATCTTATTTTTTATTGGACAAGCCAAATCCACATCAACATGATGTGCTCTTGAATTACCATCAGTCACACTTCACTTCACTTTCACCGTGACATCACATCACTCAAAAATTTACTGCACTGTCGCCACATCAATCAATCCGATCCATACGCCACCCCACCCAAACAACACAAAGCATGCTGGGACATGATTAATGATCATTACCTTGTCACTGACCACACTCTTGCCATCCCAAGCCCAGCCCCGCTTGGTGAAGTAGTTGACGGTGGCGAACTCAATCAGGGCAGAGAAGACAAAGGCGTAACACACTGCGATGAACCAGTCCATAGCTGTGGCGTAGGCGACTTTTGGCAGGGAGTTACGGGCGCTGATACTCAAAGTGGTCATAGTCAGTACAGTGGTCACACCTGAGAGGAATACAAACAATGACAACACAATGCAAATTACCATGATATACTAATGCAGAGCTCTATTCAACTCAGAATGTCCGAATTACTTGAAGTTGGAATTTCAACTTAAACTTTGTAGAAATCTTGCATCACATGAATGCAACAGCACTTGATTCCACCATTGCATGAAAAACTAAAACCTGTTTAGCAAACGTTTGCAGAGACAGGTGTGTAAAACATGGTTTTGTCAATCACACACACATGAAAACAAATGTGTAGTAAAAAGAGTTATAAAGAGTAAAACATCATTAAACAACTGAATGAATGAATGAATGAAGAAGTAAAAGTAAGTAAATAAATAAATACATAAATAAATAAATCTTTTCCAACTTGTGGATTTTTTTAAACAGTCAAAACTGTTCCCAAAAACATTCTACATCTGCCATTGGTTGTAAAATGCAAACAAATAAATAAAACAGTAAATAAATGAATAAAACAACAACAACAACAAAAAAAGAATAAAACAACAAAAAAATGAATAAAATGATAGAGAAATGTATAAATATATAAAACAATAAAACAATAAGTAAAACAATGAACGGATGAATGAATGAATGAATTTTTCAGACTTTTTCAAACTAGTCAAAAATGTTGATTGAATTACTAAAAAAATGAATGAATGAATGAATGAATGATTAAATAAATAATTAAATACCCCCACCCCCAAATAAAACTTGTTGAATTTTTCAAAACGGGTCAAAACTGTTCCCAAAAACACCCTACCTCTGCTATTGGTTGGAAAATACAGATAAACAATAAATAAATAAAACAATAAATAAAACAAACTAATTAAATTAATTAATTATGCACAACAACCCAATCTCATGGCAATTCGTACATTTTTTACAGGGTGGCTAATTCGTACAAACTCGTATGACCTGATTCGTACAAATTCATACAATTTCTGAAAAGCCGTACGTATTTTGCCGCAAATTCATAGGAATTCGTATGAAGGACCACCCCTAAACCTACCCGTCACAGAAATTGTACAAAAACTTTTGTATTGAATTTGAATGTCACCTCATAAAAATACGTACAAATTGGTCATGAGATAGTGTTGGAGCAACACATCTCCCCCTGTGTCGCAGGAGAAAGTGTATTAACATCACAAAAATGACATCACCTTCAATGACTTTGAAAGACTAAACATCTCTTAAGCTTGAGTCTGTAAGGACCCTGCTGTTATATCTTCAGTGCAACACATTTTTTCCAGTCTTGGGGCTTCTAATCATCCAAAAACATGACAACCCTTTGGCCTCTTAAACGCCTGAATTGCTCTCATTCTTTTCCATTTCTGTCCCTTTCTAAGATCTTTTCCATTTCTGTCCCTTTCTAAGATCTGTGCTGTGTTTACTGAAATGAAAGTATTTTTAGAAAGTGCCTTGTGAATTACAAGGAAGGGCTTGAAAAAGTCTGTTTTTGAGGGGAATAATACAAGAAGATGACAGCCTTGTTCAGTCATGGGACCGGGGAGACAATAACCTTAATGAGAATCCTCCAGCATTTTCACGCTCTCAGCTGAGACTCAGTGGCATCGTAAAGGGATTCTGGAGAGGAACCTGTGTGTTCCTGACTCCTGCCTGATCCAGGTCTGCAGTGACAGATCGGCCTGACAGACGGTAAGCTTGGGGACTCCGGTCGCGACCATGCACGTAAACAAATGCCTCCAATTAATTTCCATCACCGCCAAACTCTCCAGTATTCAATCCCAGGTGGGACGAGCATGACAGCAGTTTGAAACGGGCTGACAACCAGAGAAGAGCAGATAGGGAGTGTAGGATGGATCACCTTCCTCTTACTGTCAGACACCTTCAGCCATATTGCAGATATCCATCCAATGACAAAGCAGTCAATGCATCAGTCAGAACTTAAAAAAATGCTGCAGTGAAAGAGATCAATATAATCTCACACAGCGGATACATTTCAGCTGACCATCTTAAATGTGATTACAAATCGTAGGAAGTGCATTAGCTCAATCTGCAAATATCATAGAGAACACATTTACACAGGAAGTGGAGAGAAATTTACCCATCAGTCATTACCGCGGGAAGTAGGGGTGCTGAGGGTGCTGCAGCATCCCCTGGAGTGTAGCCCACGAAAAAATGTAGGTGCTGGGGGTGCAGTGTTAAAAATAAATGAATGAACAATATGTAATACAAAATAAATAATATTAATTTTATTAATTAGTATATTCATTAAAATTCATTGAAAAAAGTAGCCTAAGCCTACAATGACAAGAAGCAA